CCTCACATTCCAGCAGAAGGGGCTCTTTCTTCTCTGATAAAGCTGACCCTCCCTTGCTTGGACATCCTGTGTAGACTTCACCTGAAATACACCATGCAAGGGGATTCCAGTGCTCCTTGTGCCTCACCCCTACCACCCTTCACTGCCTCCAGACCCACCATCAGAATCACAGCCCAACATGCCTAGGGAGCCAAAAACAGACAAACTCAGGAAGAGAAGGCTTATACACCTAAAGAATTTTATGATTCTGTATTGGCCAAAACATGGGAAATATGCATGAAAGTGATTTCTCAAGAATTTCTAGACCAGAGGAAGGAATATAATTTTAGCATCACACTAAATTTGTTGACATGGATACATGTACCAGAGAATCTAAATTTGATATGCTAGCTGGGAGTGGTTCTAATTATTTGCTTGGTTAGTTACCTATATTCTGTATTCATCTATGTTGAACTCTGCTGAATGAAGCTGAGATACTAGAAATTCCTTTACAGACTTTAGAAGAAATGATCCATAGACTTAGGGATATAAAGCAGTTGAAGTGGATATATCATATGTAAACAGATCATCTGGCCCCTAGTCCTGTTCTCCAAGAGGATCCAGAAGATAACTCCCTTCACTGAGGAATACATTGATGAGGGAACACATGGAAAGCATCGTAGTGAGTGAACATCTTTTGCTAGAGATAATGGTAGGAAATAATGCCATTAAAATGGGCTCCCTGATTTCAGTGGAGATGATGAGACTCCAGGTGGCAGAGTCAAAGTAGCAGCATTTAGTTGTTAGAGACAAGGTGGACATGTTTCCATAACATGCAGCAGGGCCTTAATGGTTAAACCCTCAGGGCAGTGAACAATAATATCGAGGAATCTGTTACACTGAAACATGGAATGACGTCCTACTTGATGGAATAATCAAGTAATTCTATTTATGTTTCACGGACAGTGAGACAAAACCTCTCAAACAATTACAAATAGAGTTAATTTCCAGAACCCGAGCATTTCCTTGAGGAGTAGGCCTAGAATTTATGGAGAAAGATGTTGTAAGGATATAATAAGAGCAAACTATCTTTCTTAACCTTCCTTAAATAAGTCTGTGACCATGCACCAGGGTGACTATGCACCAGAGAAAGAAATATCTAAAACTTGGAAGGGTTTTAAGTGCTGCTTCTGAGCTTACATAGATTCTGAGGACCCAAAACATTTTAATAGCCCACCCATCAAATAGGGGACTGAGGGGAGTCAGGTGATAGATAAACAAAGGCCTGACCTGGTTCCATCTCACTGTGAATCCAGGGGGCCAATAATCCAATCAGTGCTATTTCCTCAGTTTCTGAGTACATGATTGGAATGAGAAAAAAGCAAAATGTTAAGATTCTATGCACTAGTGTTTCTCTACTGTCTGGACCAAGGTAATGATGACGATAATAGCTAATGTTATTTAGTGCTTATTATGTGCCAGGCACTGACAAGTGCTTTGCCTGCATGATCTCATTTAATTCTCTCTTAAAAAAAAAACCTCTATTCTTTTTTAAATCATGTTTTTCAATTAGATTTGACATACAATATTACATTGGCTTCTGGTGTACACCCCAGTGATTAGACATTATATAACTTACTAAGTGATCATTCCGAAATCTCTCATACTCATCTGACACCATATATAGTTATTGGAATATTACTGACTATATTCCCTCTTCTGTACTTTACATCTCCATGACAATTCTGTAACAACCAATTTGTACTTCTTTTTTTAAAATTAATTAATTTATTTTTGTTACAGATGATTCTCCTTTTTCCCCCCAGACACCTTTCTCCCTCTCCTGCCCCCCCCACCCAAGCATTGTTATCTATGTCCATTGATTACACATACATGCATATCTCATCCCTCCTCCCGAACCCCTCCTCTGAGGTTTGTCGGTCTGAACCCTACTTCTGTGTCTCTGGGTCTGTTTTGTTCATCAGCTTTTTTTGTTCATTATATTCCACAAATAAGTGAGATCATGTGGTATTTGTCTTTCTCTGATTGGCTTATTTCACTTAGCAAAATACTCTCCAGGTCCCTCCATGACATCTCAAAATAAGAGATCTTTCTTTCTTATAGCTGCATAGTGTTCCATTGTGTATATGTACCACAGCTTTTTTATCCACTCATCTATTGATGGACAGTTGGGCTGTTTCCAGATCTTAGCAATTGTAAATAGTGCTGCTATGAACATAGGGACACATATATTCTTTTTGATTGGTGTTTCAGGCTTCTTAGGATATATTCCTAGAAGTGGGATCACTGGGTCAAATGGCAGTTCAATTTTTAATCTTTTGAGGAAACACCATATTGATTTTTATAGTGGCTGCACAAGTCTGCATTCCCACCAGCAGTGTACTAGAGTCCCCTTTTCTCCACACCTTCACCAGCACATGTTGTTTGATGATTTGTTGATGGCAGCCATTCAGGCAGGTGTGAAGTGATATCTCATAGTCCTTTTAATTTGCATCTCTCTGATTAGTGACATTGAGCATTTTTTCATGTCTCTTGGCCATTTGTATGTCTTTTTTAGACAGGTATCTACTTAGGTCCTCTGCCCATTTTTTAATTGGGTTCTTTATTTTCCTTTTGTTGAGTTGTGTGAGTATATATTTTGGAAATTAACCCCTTACCTGATGTATCATTGGCAATTATGCTCTCCCATATAGTGGGTTGCCCTTCCATTTTGATGGTTGTTTCTTTTGCTGAGCAGAAGCTTACAAAGCCACTGTAATCAAAACAATCTGGTACTGGCACAAAAACAGGCATATCGATCAATGGAACAGAACAGAGAACCCAGAAATTGACACAAGACATATGCTCAATTAATATTTTTTATTTGTTTTTTTTTTTTATCCTCATCAGAAAACATTTTTGCATTTATCTTCAGACAGAGCAGGAGGGAGAGAGGGAGGAAGAGAGAGAGAGAAACATCAACATGAGAAAGACACAGCGAGTGGTTGCCACTCACACGACCCCAACTGGGGCTGGGGACAAACCGCAACCGAGGTATGTGCCCTTAGCGGGAACTGAACCCGGGTCTCTCTGGACTGTGGGCCAACGCTTTAACTACTGAGCCAAATCAGCCAGGCCTCAATTAATATTTGATAAAGGTGGCAAGAGCATACAATGGAGTAAAGACAGCCTCTTTAATAAATGGTGTTGAGAAAATTGGACAGCTATATGCAAAAAAAGTGAAATTAGACCACCATACACAAGAATAAACAAACTCAAAAGACTTAAATGTGACTCATGAATCCATAAAAATCCTAGAAGAAAATGTAGGCAACAAAATTTCAAACATCACACGCAGCAGAATTTTCACTGCTACAACGCCTAAAGCAAGAGAAACAAAGGAAAAAATTACTACATGGACTACATCAATTTGTACTTCTTAAACCCTTTACCCAACTCCCCAAACCCCTTCCCATCTGGCAAACATCAGCATGTTGGTTGTACCTGTGAGTGTTTCTATTCTGCCTTGATTGCTGTTGGTACATCAACAGGAAGGAACCCTCCCCACTCACCCCCGGACTAGCTGCAACAATTGTGGAGGATGAGCTGTGCAGGGGCCCACCCCACAGAGAATTCCTTCTTCAGCAGGGCTCTGGTGACCACTGAGACTGTCCCTTGAGGGTGTCACTTGTGGAAGTGGTTGGGGGTGCTTCAACATGGTTTGAAGTTGCCCATCTGGTGCACTGGTCCTAGGAGGTACAGGCCAAGGTTGGCCACTGTCTGTGTCTGCCTGGGGCCACCTGGCATGAGCTACAAAGCAATCTGCAGATGGCTGCTACTTGTGCTGGTTTGGCCAGGAGAGGCCAAGCTGCAAACCAAGGCTGGCTGCGGCTAGTGCTGGGCCTGGGGCCACTTAGCAAGAGGTATGGGGCTTGCCAAGGCCAGATGCTGGTTGTTTGAGAAATTTTAGGAAAACCTGAAGCATGAGCCAAGACAGACCCTTTATGTGGAAAAGCCACTGGAAACAGCTTGAATGGGCCTATAAGCTGGTGGGGCGGGGCTTCAGGGAATCACCAGGGCAGAGCAGTGATAACTAGATTTATGGAGACTCAGATATGGCCCCCACCTGCCAGCTCTCTGGGGGAAGAGCTCAGAAGAGGAACAGTAACCTCTGCCAGCACTTTAGCACTTTCTGTCTGGGAGAAAGTTGCCCCTCCAGCTCTCGCCCTGATGCCAGACACTTTAGTTCCTCCCTGTATGACCCTGGTGCCTTTTGAGCTGCAGCCCTAGTGCTGGAAGTCAGAGGGAGTGATTCTGAGTTAATATGTGCTCTGCCCCTTTAAGGGAAACTGCCTGGGACTCTAAGAAGCGCTCTCTCTCACAATCCTCATTGGTTTTTACAGTTAGAAGTTATAGGGACTTCTCTTTCCAGCACTGGAACTCTGGGCTGGGGGCCTAGTGTGAGGCCGGGACCCCTCTCTTCTCAGGGGAGACCTCCCAGCTTAGATATCTCTCGCAATTTTTATCTACCACATATGGGTATGGAACCAGCACATTCCATGTCTCAGCCACTCCTACCAGTCTCAGTGTGGCTTAATCTTTATATCCTTAGTTGTAGGACTTCCCTTCAGCTAGATTTCAGGCAGTTCTTAATGTGGTTGTTCTGTAGTTTTGTTGTATTTTTTATGTGGTTGTGGGAAGATGCAAGTACCATGGTTACCTACGCCGCCAACTTAACCAGATCTATTACTCTCGCTTTCATTATTTCCTCTTTACAGATGAGGAAACTGAGAAGTAGAAAGATTAACTTGTCCAGAGTTGTGCACCTAGTTCATGGTGGAACTATGTTCAATCCAGGCTTTCTGACACCAAAGCCCATGCTCTCAGTATAACTCTCCATTGCCTTAGCTATGCTATGTCACATGCATATTGATTACTGATTAATGAATTTGAGTTGAGAATTACATTGAGCCATGTAAACCTATAGCAATTTGTTTTTGTCTTCCTGCTTTGTTTTCTAGGCTGATTTCATGCTCAGGGGATACAGGAAGTCTGATATTGGCAAATGGAAAAGGAGATTTGAGGTGTCATATCACAGCAAACCCATTCAAGGTAGACTTGATGTGTAAAGAAGAGGTTGTGATGAGCATAAACTCCCTGGGCCAACTGTACTTTGAGCATCTGCAGACTCCTCTTAAGCAAAGGTATTTTTGCATATTGCTTGACACATAAAGAATTTAAGAAAACTTGCCCTGGCCAGTTTGGCTCAGCGGTTAAAGCGTCGGCCTGTGGTCCTGAGAGACCCGGGTTTGGTTCCCGCTAAGGGCGCGTACCTCGGTTGCAGTTTGTCCCCAGCTCTGGTCAGTCGTGCGGGTGGCAGCCACTCGATGTGTCCCTTTCACATCGATGTTTCTCTCTCTCTCTCTGTTCCTCTCTCTCCCTCCCACTGTACCTGAACAAAAAATGGAAAAATGTCCTCGGGTGAGGATAAAAAAAAAAGAATTTAAGAAAACCTGATAGTGAATACTAGTTGCCTAAATCTATATCAACACAGAAAATTAGTTTGCCTTATTTTCTGGAATACTCTTCTGAGAAATTTCATCTTTCACCTGTGCAGGTGAGTACAGGTTTGATGACAAAAGTGATTCCCAGACTTTTGCAAACATGACACTCTTAACACATCCTCTGTGTTTGACTTATGGCATTCTCAACCCTTTTCACCCTTCTAATAAAGCACTCTGTTGACATGATACATGTTAATATGAACTAACATGTCTTCAGAATTTCACTTTACCCCCTTACAATAACATAAGTTACCCTAGGCTTGTCTACGAGAAATATTAATTTTAAAGACACACGATTAAAAGTAAAGATATGGAGAAAGATATACCATGCTACCACTAATCAAAATAAAGAAGAAGTAGTTATATTAATTTCAGAAAGATCAGACTTTAGAACAAGGAAAGTTATCAGGGATAAAGAAGAGCATTACATAATAATAAAGGGGTCAGTTCTTTGAGAAGACATAACAGTCCTTAATGTGTATGTGCCTAACAACGGAGCATCCAAATACATGAGGTAAAACTGATAGAACTGCAAAAGAAATAGAGGAATCCACTGTTATAATTAGACACTTTAACACCCTTCTTTCAGAAATGGACAGATCCAGCAGAGAAAAAACAGTATGAACATAGCTAAATTCAACAGCAAAATCAATCAACTGGATATAATTGACATCTATAGATTTCTTTATTCAACAACAGTAGAATATACATTCTTCTCAAGCTCACATGGAACATTCACCAAGATAGACTATATTCTTGGTCATGAAACACACCTTAATAAATTTTTTAAAAATATGTTTTTATTGATTTTTTTGGTGAGAGAAGAAGGGAGAGAGAGATAGAAACATCAATGTGAGATAGAAACATCAATCAGCTGCCTCCTGCACGCTCCCTACTGGGGATTGAGCCCACAACCCCGGCATTTGTCCTGACCAGGAATCGAATCAGGACCTCTCAGTCTATGGGACAATGTTCAATCTACTGAGCCACACCGGCCAGGCAACAAATTCAAAAGAATAGAAACCATACAAGCTGACTCGCAGACAACAATGGAATTAAACTAAAAATAAATAACAGAAAGCTGGAAAATTCCAAAATACTTGGAGATTAAACAACACGCTTTTAAATAACACATAAGTCAAAGAAGAAATCTCTTTTAAAAAATTGAAAATATTTTGAACTAAATGAAAATACAAAATTTGTGGGATGTAGCAAAAGCACTGCTTAGAGGGAATTTTTAGCATTGAATGAATATATTAGAAGAGATACATCTGATAAGGGGTTAATAACCAAAATTTATAAAGAACTTATACAACTAAACACCGAAAACACACACACACACACACACAAAACACACCAATTTTTAAAATAGGCAAAGGACCTGAATAGACACTTCTCTAAAGAAGACATACAGATGGCCAATAGACATATGAAAAGATGCTCAATGTCACTAATCATCAGAGAAATGCAAATTAAAATCACAATGAGATATCACTGCACACCTGTCAGAATGGCTGTCATCCATAAATGGACAAATAACAAGCACTGGCGAGGATGCAGAGAAAAGGGAACCCTCGTGCACTGTTGGTGAGAATGTAGATCGCCACAGCAAAGCAGTATGGAGTTACTTCACAAAATTAAAAATGCAACTGCCTTATTACCCAGCAATTCCACTTCTGGGAATATATCCTAAAAAGTCCAAAACACTAATTTGAAAGAATATATGCACCCCTGTGTTCACCGCAGCATTATTTACAATAGCTACAATTTGGAAGCAGCCCGAGTGCCCATCAAAAGATAAGTAGATACAAAAAAGCTGTGGTACATTTCCACAATGGACTACAACTCAGCCATTAAGAAAAGAAGGAAATTATTACCTTTTTTTTTTTTTTTTTATCCTCACCCGAGGACATTTTTCGATATTTTGTTCAGATAGAGTGGGAGGGAGAGAGAGAGAAACATTGACGTGAAAGGGACACATCGAGTGATTGCCACCCACACGACCCAACCAAGGCCGGGGACAAACTGCAACCGAGGTATGTGCCCTTAGTGGGAACCGAACCTGGGTCTCTCCGGACCGCAGGCCGACGCTCTAACCGCTGAGCCAAACCGGCCAGGGCATCCTTTTTTTTTTAAGGGATTTTTTTTTCTTTTTGTTAATCGTCACCCAAGAATATTTTGTCCATTAATTTTTAGAGAGTGGAAGGGAGAGAGGGAAAAGGGGGGAGAGAGAGAGAGAGAGAGATGTGAGAGGGACACATTGATTGGTTGCCTTTCGACCAGGGCCAGGGATTGAACCTTCAACCCAGGTGTGTGCCCTTGACTGGGAATTGAACCCATGACCCTTTGGTGCATAGGCTGACACTCTAACCATTGAGCCACACCAGCCAGGGCAGGAAATCTTACCTTTTGCAATAGCATGAATGGACCTGGAGAGTATTATGATAAGTGAAATAAGCCAGTCAGAGAATGACAAATACTGTATGATTTCATTTATATGCGGAATCTAATGAACAAAGTAAACAAACAAAATAGAAACAGACTCATAGATACAGAAAACAGACTTACAGCTATCAGAGGGGAAGGGGTGCCGAGAGGGCTGGGTAAAAAATGTGAAGGGATTAAGAAAAAAATCTCATAGACAACAATATGGTGATTACCAGAGGGAGGGGGGTAGGTAGGAGAAGGTAGAGGGGGGATAAATGGTGATGGAAGGAGACTTGACTTGGGGTCGTGAACACACAATACAATATACAGATGATGTATTATAGAATTGTACACCTGAAACTTATATAATTTTATTAACCAATGTCACCCCAATAAATTCAATGAAAATAAATAAGAGAAGAAAAGACTAAAATCAATAATCTGAGCTTCCACCTTAGAAAATTAGAAAAAGAGCATATTAAATACACATAACTAAAAGAAGAAAATAATATTAAAAATTAGAGCAGAAATTAATGAAATTGAAAACAGGAACCCAAAGGGAACATCAGCCCTGGCTGGTGTGGCTCCGTGGTCAGAGTGTTGTCTCACACACCAAAGGGTTGCAGGTTCCATTCATAGTCAAGGAAGGGCGTGTGCCTGGGTTGTAGGTTTGATCCCCAGCCCTGGGCTCAATCGACTTTTCTCTCTCTCTCCCCCCGCCCATTCCTCCTTCCCTTCCACTCTCTCTAAAACAAATCCCCAGGTGAGAATTAATAAAACAAAAAATAATGAATTATAGACCTAAATATAAAATCTGAAACTATTAAGCTCCCCAAAGATAACAGAGAAGAAAACCTAGATGAGCTTGAGTATGGCGATTACTTTTTAGATATAACAGCAAAGGCATGATCCATGAAAGAAATAAGGGATAAGTTGGATTTCATCAAAATTAAACTATAGCTCAGTGTAAAACAGTGTCAAGAAAATGAGAGGACAAGCCACAGACTGTGAGGAAATATTTGTAAAAGACACATCTGAGAAAGTACTGCTACCCAAAATATACAAAGAACTTTTAAAAGTCGATGATAAGCCCTGGTCAGTTTGGCTCAGCGGTTAGAGCATCGGCCTGCGGTCCGGAGAGACCCGGGTTCAGTTCCCGCTAAGGGCACGTACCTCGGTTGCAGTTTGTCCCCGGCCCTGGTTGGTTGTGCTGGTGGCAACCACTTGATGTGTCCCTTTCACATCGATGTTTCTCTCCCTCTCTGTTCCTCTCTCTCCCTCCCACTCTACCTGAACAAAAAATGGAAAAATGTCCTCGGGTGAGGATGATAAAAAAAAAAAAAAAAAAGGCAGTGATAAGAGCTCTGGCTGGCTCAGTGGTGAGAGCGTCACCACAGACCAAAGAGTCCCGGGTTCAATTCTGGCGAAGGGCACATACCTCAGTTGCAGTTCATCCCTGGCCCCGTGCAGGTGGCAACCAATCGATGCGTCTCTCTTGCGTCAATGTTTCTCTCCCTCTCTTCCTCCCTCCTCCCTCCAACTCTATCTGAAGATTAATGTAAAAATATCCTTGGATGAGGATTTAAAAAAGAAAAAAAAAGTCAATGATAATAAACTGGACACCCAATTTAAAAATGAGTAAAAGACCTGAACAGACCAAAGAAGATATACAGATGGCAAGTAAGCATATGAAAAGATGTTCAACAGCCCTGGCCGGTTTGGCTCAGCGGTTAAAGCATCAGCCTGCGGTCCGGAGAGACCCGGGTTCGGTTCCCGCTAAGGGCGCATACCTCGGTTGCAGTTTGTCCCCGGCCCTGGTCGGTTGTGCAGGTGGCAGCCACTCGATGTGTCCCTTTCACATCAATGTTTCTCTCTCTCTCTCTGTTCCTCTCTCTCCCTCCCACTCTACCTGAACAAAAAATGGAAAAATGTCCTCGGGTGAGGATAAAAAAAAAAAAAAGAAAAGATGTTCAACATCATGTCATTAGGGAATTGCAAATTAAAACAAGATACCAGTACACATCTAGAATGGACAAAATTCAAAACACTGACAACAGAATGCTAGTGAGGATGTGAAACAATAGGAACTCATATTCATTGCTGGTAGGAATGCAAAATGCTAGTCACTTTGGAAGACCATTTGACAGCTTCTTACAAAACTAAACATACTCTTACCATACAATCCAGCAATGCACTCCTTGGTATTTACCCAAAGGAGTTGAAAATTTATGTCCACACAGAAACCTGCACATGGATGTTTGTGGCAGCTTTATTCCTACCTGCCAAAACTTGGAAGCAACCAAGATGTTCTTCAGTAGGTCAGTAGATAAATAAACTGTGTTATATCCACACAATGGGAATATTACTCAGCTTTTAGAAGAAATAAAGTATCAAGCCATGAAAGGACATGAAAGAAACTTAAGCACATATTACTAAGTAAAAGAAGCCAATCATATTTCAACTATATGAAATTCTGAAAAAGGCAAAACTGTGGAGATAGTAAAAAGATTAGTGGTTTCTAGGGGTTAAGAAGGAGGGAGGGAGGACTGGAACACAGAAGATTTTTAGGACAGTGAAACTACTCTGTATGATACTACAATAATGAATACATGTTATTATACATTTCTCAAAACCCACAGAATGTACACCACCAAGCGTGAACCCTAATTAAACTATGGAATTTGGGTAATGGTGTGTCAATGTAGGTTCATCATATGTAACAAATGGATCACTCAGGTGCAAGATGTTGATAGTGCAGAGACTGTGGATGTGTAGGGACAGTAGGTATATGGAAACTCTCTGCACTTTCTACACAATTTTACTGTGAAACTAAAAGTGTTCTAAAAAATAAAGTTTACTGCCCAGCCAGTTTGGGTCAGTGGATTGAGCGTTGTCCCATGGACTGAGTTCCCAGTTTGATTCCCAGTCTATATTTGTATAAGAAATCAAACTGTGGGGTTACTGTTTATTATAAATGTTCAATTTCATAAACTTATTTTTATAGTGATGTCATTTTTAAGAAGTTAAAGGATATAATATATAGGGTCTCAAAAGTTGGAAATGAAAATCTTTATCACTGAATAAAATTCTGTCAGTCTTGCCTTGTATAAAACAATTTTATTTATATTAAAACAGAACTACCAGAGAAAAGGAGGAGAATGCATCAATTGACACCTCTCAGGTAATCTAGATTGAGCAATTTGTCTTTTTTTATCATTTTAATCTTCATCGTGGTGTGGCATATAATGTGTCCTGTTCTTTCCTTCTTCTACAGGTGGATATTTGATAAATTCTTTATAAATGGAACCACCTATCTCTTTTGCTTATCTAATCTTATTGATTCTTTCATTCATTTGTTTATTCATGTATTTATTCATTTATAAAACAGGTAATTTCTGAATGCCTGCTTTGTGCCAGACACACATACACACACACAAATGGTAGGCAAGGGGAGTCAGCCATGAATAAGACAAATTTTGTGTCTTCATGAAACTTAGAATCTGTTGGGAAAGACAGACACTAAATAGTTACAAGCATGAAGAATGATACAAAAGGGTGTTATAAGAGACTATGACAAGAAACTTGAACAAGATGATGGTCAGGAAAGACCTCCTGAAGGAAATATCGTTAACCCTATAATTGATGTATGAGGATACAGTTGGGAATGACACATTCCAGATAGAAGGATTTGCATATTAGAAGATCTGTAGGTACTCAGGAGCACATTAAATACACACAACTTTTAGCAGGAGAAAGGACAGCAAAGGAAATGTTGATTTGTGACAAGGCTAGAGAGAGAGGCAGGGGCACTTCTGTGGAGAGTCTTGTAATAATTCTTTTATTCAACAAACATTTGTTGAGAACCTCCTCTATGCCAGGTACTGTTCAAAAAAATCAGTGATATATCATCGAGTAAATCAAATTCCCCTATTACAATGGAAGCGACTTACATTCTTTTTTCTTTTCTTTTCTTTTCAATCATATTAACCTTTTTGGACTTTAACCTAAGAACAAAGGAAAACTATGGAAAAGTTTTAAAGAGCAGAGATATATTTTCTGATTTCTATTTTTAAAATATTATTTCAGCCAAATTATGGAGAATGGGCATTTTAGAAATCTTCTCTTCATCCAAAGCCACATGCATCTTCAAAGGAACCCTGATAGTAGCTATGGCCACCAGGAATGGTGAAAAAATTTTCCAGTGCAATAAGGACAAATGCTTCTTTTTTTTGAGAACTGACCCACACTGTATGAGAGAGAACACTTTTTCATTTCAAACACAAAAGATAAGGACAAATAAGATATAGCCTTATACAGTTTTGTGACAGTATGTCAAATCAGCTTTTGGAAACCTCTAACTAGGTAGTTTAGATAGTGGTTTTGAGTCACAGACCTCTTGGAGGAATCTGATGAAAGCTGTAAATCATCTCTAGAGAAAAATTTTTTGTCATACTGTTTGAGGGAATTCACAACTCTAAAGCTCATCCATAGACCCCAAAATAATAATCCCTACATTAAGAATTCAGGTGTGGCCAAATTCATTGCTAGACTGACAAACCTCAAAGGGAAAGGGGTTGGGGGGGTGGGAAGAGATAAACCAAAGAACTTATATGCATAACCAATGGACACGGACAATAGTTTGGGAAAAGGTGGGAGGAGGGCGGGAGGGAGGAGGAGGGGGTCAATGGGGGAAAAATGTGGAACATCTGTAATACATTTTACATCCAACAATAAAGATGTGGAAAAAAAAAAAAAGAATTCAGGTGTGGCAAAATAACATGTTACTAAACAATGAATGGATCAACAATGATATCAAGGAAGAAATCAAAAGGTACCTTGAGACAATTGAAAATGAACACACAACAACCAAAATCTTATGGGACACAGAGAAAGTAGTCCTAAGAGGAAAAGTCATAGCAATACAGGCGTACTTCAAAAAACAAGAAGAGATGATAGAGACTAAAAAAAAACAATACAAAAGGTCAATGAAACCTAAAGCTGGTTTTTTGAAAAGATAAACAAGATTGACAAACCTTTAACCAGACTCGTAAAGAAAAGAGAAGAGATGCCCTGGCTGGTTTGGTTCAGCAGTTAGAGCATCAGCCCATGGACCAGAGAGGCCCAGGTTCGGTTCCCGCTAAGGGCACATACCTCAGTTGCAGTTTGTCCTCAGCCCCGGTTGGGGTCGTGTGGGTGACAACCAGTTGATGTGTCTCTCTCACATCAATGTTTATCTCTCTCTCTCTCTTCCTCCCCTCTTCTTCCTGCTCTATCTGAAGATAAATGCAAAAATTTATCAGTTGAGGATAAAAAAATCAGTTGAGGATGAAAAAGAAAGAAAGAAAAGAGGAGAGAGGACCCAAGTAAATTAAATCAGAAATGAAAGAGGAATAGTAACAACTGACACCACAGAAATACAAAGGATTGTAAGAAATATGACAAACAAATATATACCTACAAATTGGACAACCTAGTCAAAATGGATAAATTCCTAGAAATGTACACTCTTCCAAAACTAAATCAGAAAATCTGAACAGACTAATTACAACTAATGGAATAGAAGCAGTAATTAAAAAATTTTTTTAAAACTTCCAGCAAACAAAAGTCCTGGAGCAGCCCTGACCGGTTTGGCTCAGCGGTTAGAGCGTCCGCCTGGGGTCCGGAGAGACCCGGGTTCGGTTCCCGCTAAGGGCATGTACCTCAGTTGCAGTTTGTCCCCGGCCCTGGTCGGTCGTGCGGGTGGCAGCCACTCGATGTGTCCCTTTCACATCGATGTTTCCCTCTCTCTCTCTTCCTCTCTCTCCCTCCCACTCTCTCTGTGCAAAAACTGGAAAAATGTCCTCGGATGAGGATTAAAAAAAAAAAAAAAAAAAGTCCTGGAGCAGATGGCTTTACAAGTGAATTTTACCAAACATTCAAAATAACTAACACCTATTCTTTTCAAACTATTTCCAATAATTCAAGAGGAAGGAAGACTCCCAAGCTCATTTTATGAAGCTGGTATTATCCTAATTCCAAAACCAGATAAAGATACTACAAAGAAAGAAAATTATAGGCCAATATCCCTGATGAATATAGAGGCAAAAATTCTCAACAAAATATTAGCAAACTGGATCCAGCAGTACATTAAAAAGATCATACACCATGTCAAGTAGGATTTATGTCTGGATACAAGGTTGGTACAGTATCTGCAAATCAGTTATCATGATACACAACATAAAGAAAAGAAGGATAAAAGTCACACATCAATACACACATAAAAAGCATTTGATAAAATCCAGCACCCATTTATGATAAAAACTCTCAGCAGAGTGGGACTAGAGGAAACATACCTTAATATAATAAAGGCAGTATATGACAAAACCACAGCTAACATTATACTCAATGGAGAAAAACTAAGTGTTTCCCTTAAGATCAGGAACAAGAAATGGATGTCCACTATCACCACTCTTATTCAACACGGTACTGCAAGTCCTAGCCACAGCAGTCAGACAAGAGGAAGAAATAAAAGGCATCCAAATTGGAAAGGAAGAAATAAAACTGTCATTATTTGCAAATTACATGATAGAGAATCCTAAAGACGCCACCAAAAAAACCACTAGAACTGATAGACGAATTCAGTAAAGTAGCAGGATACAAATTTAATATTCAGGGTGGGGAAAAAGTAGGTTTACAGTTGTTTGTTATGGAAAATAATACAATAGCCCTGGTCGGTTTGGCCCAGCAGTTAGAGCATCAGCCTATGGACTAAAGGGTCATGGGTTTGATTCCAGGTCAAGGGCACATACCTGAGTTGCAGAGACAGATGGTGATGATGGGTGCACAACACTTTGAATGTAATTTAATACCACTGAACTATATACTTAAAATGGTTAACATGATAAATTTTATGCTATGTGTATTTTTAAAATATGTTTTTATTGATTTTTAGAGAGAGAGAAAGGGAAAAGGGGAGAGAGAGAGAAACATCGATCAGCTGCCTCTGGCAACCTGGGCATGTGCCCAGACCTTGAATCGAACCAGCGACCTCTTGGTACATGGGACAGTTCTCAACCAACTGAGCCACACTGGCAAGGGGTGTTATGTGTATTTTTTGTTGTTGTTGTTAATCCTCACCTGAGGGTATTTTTCCATGGACTTTTAGATAGAGTGGAAGGGAGGGAGGGAGAGAGAGAAACAGATGTAAGAGAGACACATTGATTGATTACCTCCCGTACAACCCTGACCAGGGCCAGGGATGGAACCTGAAACTCAGATACATGTCTTTGACAGGGAATCAAACATGCGACCCTTCGGTCTACAGGCTGACACTCCAACAACTAAGTCAAACCGGCCAGGGCTATTATGTGTATTTCACCACAATATAAAAAATAGATTCATGTCAGCTATAGTTCATAAGGATGATTGACATTTATATAGAACACGGATCTAATATGTTAAATATATTGACATCACAAACTGGTCTTAAAAGATGAACTCATTTTTTTTTTTTTTTGGTCTAATTTTTTAGTAATCCAAATAAAATGTGCTTGCAATGAATAAACTTAATTTGCTCTCCTTTTTTGTGCCAACAGGAAAATCAAGAGGATCTGGGCCTATGGGAGGAAAAATTCGCAGAATTTGTGGATGTCAAAGTTAATGGTAAAATTGAAACTAGTGTAGTGCTAAAACAGATCTTTCCAAAATGGCTAAATATCTCTATCCAAAGGTCCCTGGAGTGACTCAAACAAGTGACTTTTGTAAGATGAACAGAAATCTCAGATTTGGGAAAAGAAAAGAAAGAAATCTCAGATTTGAGTCCCCTATTCTTCAATAATGCATTGCAACAAAGAAATAATGATTTATATACCTTTTGTGAGGAGTGTAAAAGAACTAGAGGCTTCATGGAGTTTATGGTCTGATGGAGGGGCCTAGATCAGCACACTGTTCGCACTATCCAGTATATCAAATAGCTGCAAATCCCACATTCTATTTTTATGAGAGTCAAGTGATGGGAAAACAAGTTCTAGAGCTCATCGGCTCCAACATTCCAAGCCAGTGGTTCTCAACCTTTGCCAGCCTCCCCATCATTCACATGAGCATCACATGCCCATCTGTGACATTTCTCCCTAGGCTCAGTGATGGGTGTGTGTGAATGTAGTTTCTCTCTTTAAGAGATAACTTTCAGATACTTGGGGCTTATGTAGTTGGAAAAAATACTCACTTTCTTCCTTCTTCCTCCCGACCATGTAGAATGACAGACCCTCCCTAATTCCTTGAGAATCCCTGTTCTAGCATCTATATCTATAGCCTCGTATATGATCAGGACTGACAACTTGCCCAAAATTTATAAGCAAGGGGGCCCTCAGACTTCTTTCTGTAACATCATAATCTTTTTTACCATTTCAGTAGCACCCTTGTTTCATAAACTCCTCCAAATAGAGATCATTTGAGGTCAAATACTTTAACCTAAGAACGAATTTAAGGTGATGTTATCTCTTCCAATTATTTACATTTTTCTCTAATTGTTGAATAAAGGACTTTGTCTTTGGCTAAAGGAAATTTATGTGTTTACAATCACAGGATATTCTGAGGAGCCAGGAAAATCCTCCTGGTGCCCTTGATGCTATAATCCCTGGGCACAGTGAGAATAAACAGTCAGGCAGAAGACACCCACTCTTTCATCTAGTGAAGACTAAAATTACTCAGTATCTTTTACTTCCTAAATCAAAGAAGTATGCAATATATTTTAGAAAAGTTTAGATTAGGAAAAAATCTAAAACTTTATAGCCATATTTTACCAATAGAAAAGAGATTTACTAGAAATGAGGACACAGAGAACTTCAACACACAGCTAAGCAAACATTAATAAGTGACCAGAACTTGGCCTTTTGCATTTTTAATCCCCACAACACCTGAACATAGCAGCTTACATAGAGTCAGCACATGTGATTTACTGATGGATAAGGGAAAGCTCAGATCTCTAGATCACTAGTCATCTAGTTAACTGAATTTCTTTAATTGACTGCCCCATTAAGAAGCAAAACTCAGCCCTGGCCAGTTTGGCTCAGCGGTTAGAACATTGGCCCGCAGACCAGAGAGTCCCGAGTTCAGTTCCGGCTAGGGGCACACACTTAGGTTGTGGTTTGTCCTCAGCCCCAGTTGAGGTTATGCGGGTGGCAACCAGTCGATGTGTCTCTCTCACATCGATGTTTCTCTTCCTCCATCTCCCTCTCGCTCTATCTGAAAATAAATATGGATAAAAAAAAAAAAAAAAAGAAGCAAAACAGTCAATATCCTAGTCTCTACAGGTCCTGCCTCTATTGGTTTGGATTTTTCCTTGCATGGATTTGAGCATCTCTATGGGATCCCGCAACATGCAGAATCACACCGACTTAAAAATACAAGGTAAGTGAAAACAAGAGTTCTTATGGGAAAGGCAAATATGTGAGATGCCTGAACCAAAGGTAATATGTGCCTGGCCTTTTCCTCCTTGATATTGCTTATGGATCTTCACGAAACTTCCTGGAATGATCACTCAGAGCAGTGGTTCTCAATTTTTTTTTTTTGGCAAAATTTAGACAATTATAAAAACTGTGATGCTGAACCTAAAAATATAAAGGAAGTAAAAATATGGAGCTACTGTGGCTGAAATGGGGAGATTTTCATCACACCACCTCCTGGGATTTGTTTTTACTTCTCAAGGCCTTTCTGTGGAACCCTGGGAGAATACCCTGTGAAAAACACCTAGAAAAAGGCTTTCACTAAAAAAGGAGCCAGAGAATGGGAAAGTGTGGCATTTCATATCACCTTTGATTCCCTCAGGGAGATGATCTCAAATTAACACTACTAGTGAATAAATGCCAGAGGCATAGGGCTCATTGGAAGCAAAACCAAAGAGAAGCAGAGTCTGACCAAGTTCGACAGGTTCAGATGCTGTTTACCTGACAGGGAGGCATAGTGACAAGTGCATCAGGAACTGTGCTGCTTTCACACCAACCCCAATTCAGGTCCTGATTTTTCCCTCTACTCAGCACGGTATCAGCATGTTAAGACACTGTCATTTAGTTTTAGCGGCAGAGAAATACTCACAAAATTTGTCAAAGATACTTTGTGTGCTTGCTATTGTAGAGAATCCACGGAAACAGTCCTAACCTCACACGAGATACTCAGAAAAGATATCTAAAGAGATGAGATTATGCATGCTAATTTGTCAGTTGAAGGGATGCCAAAGGAATCAGAGGAGGATCATATTCACCCAGGTTGAATCAGAAACCTTTAGGGAAGTTGCCCTGGCCGGTTTGGCTCAGCAGTTAGAGCGTTGGCCTGTGGTCCAGAGAGACCGGGGTTCAGTTCCCACTAAGGGCACATACCTGGGTTGCAGTTTGTCCCCGGCCCCGGTTGGGGTCATGCGGGTGGCAGCCACTCCATGTGTCCCTTTCACTTCAATGTTTCTGTCTCTCTCTTCCTCTTTCTCCCTCCCACTCTACCTGAACAAAAAATGGAAAAATGTCCTTGGATGAAGATAAAAAAAAAAAGAAACCTTTAGGGAAGTAGTCAAGTTGAGCCTTGGAAGTTGCATAGGATCCAAGTGCAGGGGAGAATGAAGCTATACTATTCATTACTGATATTTGTGATAGTAATTGATAATCCTTCTTGTGTGTTTCAGTGATGAGGATGTTTACCGTCTTTATAACCTGGATGTCTATGGATATAAAATACATGAAAAAATGGGCATTTATGGTTCAGTACCTTATCTTTTGGCCCACAAATTGGGCAGGACTGTAGGCATTTTTTGGCTCAATTCCTCAGAAACACTGGTGGAGATCAATACAGAGCCTGCAGTAAAGGTAAGCTGTGGACCATGACTGCATGGCATACTCACAGAAGAAACAAAACTAGTAAAGTGTAGTCATAGCTCTGGGCTTTGTAGTTGCAGTTCTCTGCCACCAGTCATTGCAGTATAATATGTGAAAGTTAATAGTATGTACTAAAGGAACCAACTGTTGCTCCCATATGGTTGGACATTGTAGGTTAGAGGGAAATTTTTCAAACTTTCATTCCATTTCTTTTCCAGTACACATTGACCCAGATGGACCCAGAGGCTGCTAAACAAAAGGGCAGCTCTCGAACTGATGTGCACTGGATGTCAGAGAGTGGAATCATTGATGTTTTTCTGCTGACAGGGCCTACACCTTCTGACGTCTTCAAGCAGTACTCATCCCTTACAGGTACTTGCATGTGGAAGTGCCCGATTCTTGTCCCATTGTATTTCCTCTGTTGCATGTATCATTACTGTAAGTTAATATTTATTGCACACCACACAGAATTCATAAACAATTTGCCCAAGCTTTTTAAGAAACAAGCATCCTCCTCCCACCCTCATTCCATTCAGCTTGCACTGGGGCTGGAACTCTCCATTCTCTCATCCTTTATACTTGCCATCTGCCTTCCTTTGAGCCCTTTACCCCTGGGCTTTCTCTAACTTTGTCTCAGATTAACCTTTTTTGTGTGCTCTTCTCCATTAAAATATACCACTGGCTTTAGCTCTAAAGCATTTTATCTTTAAAAGATATACCGCCCTGGCCGGTTTGGCTCAGCGGTTGGAGCGTCGGCCTGCGGTCCGGAGAGACCCGGGTTCGGTTCCCGCTAAGGGCATGTACCTCGGTTGTAGTTTGTCCCCGGCCCTGGTTGGTCGTGCGGGTGGCAGCCACTCGATGTGTCCCTTTCACGTCGATGTTTCTCTCTCTCTCTCTTCCTCTCCCTCCCACTCTATCTGTACAGAAAATGGAAAAGTGTCCTCGGGTGAGGATAAAAAAAAAAAAAAGATATACCAATTTCTGCACCTTGGTGCAGAAAAAAGCATTTGACAAAATTCAACACTATTTAATGATTTAAAAAACACTCAGAAGACATTGAATAGAAGGAAACTTTATCAACATGATAAAAATCATTTATGAAAAATCCACAGTTAACATACTCATTGGTAAAAAGCTGCAAGCTTGCCCCTAAGATCAGAAACAAAACAAGGCTGCCCATTTTCACCACTGCTCTTTAACACTGTACTAGAAATTCCAACCAGAGCAATTGTGCTAGAAGAAATAAAAGGGATCCCAACTGGAAAGGAAAAGGTAAAATTATCTCTATTTTTAGATAATGTGATCCTGTATGTTAGAAAATCCCAGATTCCACACAAAAACTACTAGAGCTAATAAACAAATTTACCAAAGTTGCAAGGTACATGGTCAACACACAAAATATGTTGTGTTTTTAAACACCAGAGATGAACAACCAAAAAAAGAAATTGAGAAAATAATTTCATGTGTGATAACATCGAAAATAATAAAATATTTAGGAATAAATTTAACCAAGGAGGTAAAAGACTTGTACACTGAAATATATAAAAAAGTCCTGAAAGAAATTAAAGAAAGCCTAAATAAATGGAAATACATCTCATGTTCATGGATTGGAAGACTGAATATTGTTGAGACGGCAATACTACCAAAAGCAGTCTACACAGATTCACTGCAGTCCCTACCAAAATTCCAACAGCCATTTTTGAAGAAATAGAAAAGATGATCTTCAAAGTCATATGAAATGGCAAAGGGCCCTGAATAGCCAAACAATACTGAAAGAAAAAAAGTTGGAGGACTCATACTTCCCAATTTCAAAAATTACTACAAGGTTAAAATAATCCAAATAGCATGGTATTGGCATACAAATATACATATAGGTCAGTGGAATAGAATTAAAGATTAAAGGCTCAAAATAAACCCATACATCTTTGGCCAATTGATTTTCAGCAAAAGTTCAAGACCATTCAATAGGGAAAGAATAGTCTCCTAAACACATGGTACTGGGACAACCAGATAGCCACATGCAAAAGAATGAAATTGGAACCCTACCTCACACCATACTCAAAAAAGTAATTTAAAATGGATCGAAAAATATAAGAGCTAATGCCACAAAACTCTTTAAAAAAAATGGGTAAATCTTTATAATCTTGGATTGGGCAACAGAATCCTTAGATATCACAACAAAATCATGAACAAAAAGAAAAAATAGGTAAGTTGGACTTTATTAAAATTTACAATTTTTTTTTTTTTTATCCTCACCCGAGGACATTTTTCCATTTTTTGTTCAGATGGAGTGGGAGGGGGAGAGAGGAACAGAGAGAGAGAGAAACATCGATGTGAAAGGAACACATCGAGTGACTGCCACCCACATGACCGACCAGGGCCGGGGACAAACTGCAACCGAGGTACGCGCCCTTAGCGGGAACCGAACCCAGGTCTCTCAGGACCGCAGGCCGATGCTCTAACCGCTGAGCCAAACCGGCCAGGGCTACAATTTTTGAAGGGTAAAGGCAACCTACAGAATGGGGGAAAATGTTTGCAAATCATATATTTGATAAGGGTCTAGTATTCAGACTATATAAATAACTCTTACAGCTTAACAACAAAAAGACAACCCAATTCTAAAATGGGCAAAGGACTTAAATAGACATTTCTCCAAAGATATAGAAATGGATTAACAAACACATGAAACATCATTAGTCATTAGGAAAATGAAAATTCATGAGATACCATTTCCTACCTTCTAAGATGGCTAAATCAAAATTGAAAATAAGTGGTGATAGAATGTGGAGATATTAAAACCTCATACATTACTGGGAGAATGTAAAATTGTTCAGCTGTTGTAGAAAATTCGGCAGTTCCTCAAAAAGCTAAACATAGAATTACCATATGACCCAGTGTGATGGTTAATTTTATATGTCAACTTGCTTAGGTCATGGTACCTAGATATTTGGTTAAACACTAGTCTAGATGTCACTTGGAGATATTTTTAATATCTTTTTTTTATTTTTTATTTTTATTTTTATTTTTTAAATCCTCTCCTGAGGACATTTTTCCATTTTTTGTTCAGATAGAGTGGGAGGGAGAGAGAGGAAGAGAGAGAGAGAGAGAAACATCAATGTGAAAGGGACACATCGAGTGGCTGCCACCCGCACTACCAACCAGGGCCAGGGACAAACTGCAACCGAGGTATGTGCCCTTAGTGGGAACCGAACCCGGGTCTCTCAGGACCGCAGGCCGACACTCCAACCGCTGAGCCAAACTGGCCAGGGCACTGTGGAGATATTTTTAGATGAGATTAACAGTTAAATCAGTTAGAGTAAAACACCTACTTGACATAATGTAGGTGTGCTTCATCTGATCATTTAAAAGAAAGCCTTAAGAGAAAAGGACTGAGGTCCCCTAAAGAAAAAGGAATGTCTCCAAACTGCCTTCATACCAAGTGGCAAATTCATCTCCTCCTTGGGTCTCCAGCCTATAAGCCCGCCCTGCAAAAAGAGTTGCCAGCTGCCGCAATCACTTGAACCACTTCTTTAAAATCAACCAATCAGCCCTGGCCAGTTTGGCTCAGCGGTTAGAGCATCAGCCCATGGACCAAAGAGTCACAGGTTTGATTCCAGTCAAGGGCTCATACTCCAGTTGTGGTTCCGTCCCCGGCCCTGCTCGGGTCGTGCAGAGGCAGCCAGTCAATGTGGCTCTCTCACATCAATGTTTCCCTCTCTCTCTCTCTCTCCCTCCTATTCTATTTGAAGATAAATGGGAAAAAAAATGTCCTCAGGTGAGGATTAAAATAATAATAATTAAAATGAATAAATAAATATAATTTAAAAAATAAAATCAACCATTCTGTGTGTGTGTGTGTGTATATATATGTGTATATATATACATATATATACACACATTCTATTGGTTCTGTTTCTTTGCACAACCCTGACTAATACATCCAGCAATTCCATTCCTAGATGTTTACCCAAAGGAATTGAAAGCAAGGACTCGAACATATACTTGTATGCCAATGATTATTGCAGCATTAGTCACAATAGCCAAAAGGCGGAAACCAGTGCCCATCAAAGATTAATAGATAAACACAATGTGATATATACACAAAATGGAATATTATTCAGCCATAATAAGGAATGAAGTACTGATTCTTGCTGCAACATGGATGAACCTTGAAAAAATTATGCAAAATGAAATAAGCCAGACACAAAAGGACAAATATTATATGACTCTACTTATAAGAAGTATGTACAGTAGGCACATTTATAGAGACAGAAAGTAGATTAGCAATTACCAAGGGCTGGAGGGTAAAATGGGTAGTGGTTATTGCTTACAGGGATGGGGAACTTTTTTCTGTCAAGGGCCATTTGAATATTTATTTATTTTACAAAATGTTCTTTTCTTTATTGATTTGAGAGAGAGAAGGGAGAGGGAGAGAGAGATAGAAACATCGATGATGGAGAACATTGATTGGCCGCCTCTTCACACCCCGCACTGGGGATTTGGCCCACAACCTGGGCATGTGCCCTGACTGGAAATAGAACTGGCCATGTCTTGGTGTATGGGTCAGTGCTCAATCACTGAGCCACACCAGCCAGGCCATTTGGGTATTTATAACACCATTCTTGGGCCATACAAAATTATTAACTTAAAAATTAGCATTACCCAGAGATTTCCAAAATGGCAGCAGAGTGAATGGAAGCTACACAGACCATCTCCCAGGACCAAACTGGAATTACAATGAAAAAAAGGACAAAGCGTCAGGAAAAAGCAACAGAAAAGCAGCTTGGAGGACCATATAACCAGGGACTCTGACTCAATCCTGGTAGCACTGTGGCGGCGCGAGAGAGGGGCTGGGAGCCCACAGAAAACAGTGGCCTTAGCTGTGAGCAGCGCCCTCAGGTTAAACTCCTAAACGGCTCCACAGCGCAGAGCCGGGACAGATGCTAAAATAGCCACAGCCACTCAACTTGGGCTTCAGCAGAGGGAGGGCAGACTGGACTGGAACAGTGTGGGGATACTCAGGAATTGGAGGGCGCTCAGAGCTTTTGCTGAGTTGTGGCCACGCAGGATGGTGGTCATCTTATTCCTTCCCAGGGCTCTGGGGAGAGGCGGTGGCCCCTCCCTCAAAGATCCAACCCCACCCAGTGGCCATTGAAATGCAAATTGAGGCCCATTAACCAGCATCTGCCCCACCCTCAGGAAATCCTTTTATGCTGAACACCTGAGAGAATTTTTCATTCAGCTGAGAACCCAAGGCTCTTCAAGTAATAACTACTGATAGCCTCCAGGCAAAAAGCTAGAAGATAACTATACCATTCGGGGCTAGCAATTCTAACCAGGAAAGTAAGACTTGACAGTGATGTTTAACATGG